AGAAAATGAGCCAAAACAAACAAGCACACGTATCAAAACTTCCTGCTCTGCCTCCATTAGCGCGCACTGGTTTCTGAGGATCCGCTGTTCGAGTGTTTGTGTTCGGCCAGCCACATCGGACCCATGCCAGTATGGAGTTCATCTGCACAGCTGTCCCCAAAGCAAGCGAGAAGGCTCCCCCAGAACCCTGCAGCTACCGCAAACTGTTAATATTGTGATTTCTCCAGACTTCCCTGCAGGGACAGAGACGCAGATTCCACCTTACTACGCTGGAGATTCACATCTAAGCCAGTGCCACAGTGCGACAGTCCAGGCTTCTTGGAAACGTAGAGGCAGGAGGATTGCTGGAATTCAGGAGTTCCAAGCCAGCCCGGGGAACACAGTGAGACCCCTCTAATCTCCAGGTCTTAAAAATCAACCAATCAAGCAACACTAAACTTCTCGGTCCTCTGTAAGAGGAGCAAGTGCTCTTGACCACTGAGCCACCTCTCTGGTCCCTGGGGTCCCTGCTGCTATGTATGTATGCCAGGCCACATGAACCCACAGACTTCTGGAGAGTCCTGTCTAGGCTTCCTATCATCTGCCAGGAGAACTGAGATTCCAATGAGCACTACCAGTTTCTATGGGTTCTGGGAATTCTAACTCAGGTTCCTGCATGCTTTTATCTATTGAGCAATCTCCCCAGGCCCAAAACAGCATTTTGAAATAATTATATCCATTACTTTCTTTGGTATACGTTTATTAAGCTAATACAATGTCCTCAGTGGTACTGGGCCAACAGGAGAAAACTAAACAGTGGAATTACTACGTAGTAACCCTGAATCCAAAGAGCCCACAGTCTGGTGCAGAATCTAGACCAGAGAAGCCCAGCTATAGGGTAAGAGCTGCCTGGCAGAGCAAAAGGAAACAGACTACAGCCAGTAGAGGCGGGTGGCGAAGTCAACAACCCCCCAAAGGATAGCTCAAAACTGGCTGGGAAGAAGAGTCCACTCACCTATGGATGGAAAGCAAAACAGAATCCCCAAATGAAGAGCAACAGTGAATTCGGAATTCACCCCGATAATTCAACACTCATGAGTTCAGGGCCATCCTCAGCTACACGGTAAGCGCATGGTTAGCCTGGGTTACATCCTCTCTCAAACAAAAAACACAAAAACAAACTCACAAAAGCAGCAAGAGTAAGCAAGCTGTTGGGGCAAAAAAGTTGTAGATCTGCCTGCGGTGTTCCTTACAGGTTTTACTGGTTATGGCAGCAGGAAAGTATCTGAGACTTCTTGTAGCCATAAAAAAAGTAGCATTTTCTAATGAATGGATCAAGATTCTGATTTTGCCCAGTCAACTCATATTTTCAACATCAAGAGTTCTGCATGTAAAGATTTCCTGGCTCAGGGATTTAAACCTGTGAGCTCTAAAGCAGCCGTGTTAGACAGTAAGAGCTGTCTCAAAAAACTAAAGCAAAAGAGCCTGCTAAATGGAAAAGGTATTCCCAGCCCTGGGACGCAGAGGCAGGAGGATCGCTGCAGGCTCAAGGGCAATCCTAAATATGTGGTAAGTCCTTGGTGAGCTGGGGCTACACAGTGAGACCCTGTCTCAAACAAATAAATGCTAGCACAGTCAGCTGGGCTTAGTGGGGCGAAGCTGTACATAATCTCCAATACTCAGGGGGCTGAAACAAGAAAATCATAAATTCAAGTCAGCCTGGACTAAAGAGTGAGTTCAAGGCCAGTCACTAACTTTCCCGTTGCAAAATTTATGAATTTCTGAAAAACAGACCTCAGTTTGATTCCCCAGGATCCATACAAAGGTGAAAGTAGAGAACCAACTCCATGAAGTTGTCCTCTGACCTCCAACACGGCACTCATGTATGTACATGTACACACACACACACACACACCATATACTCTGCACATACACACCAAAAATAAACTTTTGAAAAGACAAAATTGTATATGGTTCAACATTGCCTGTACTGGGTCTAACACACTCCAATAACAATACCCTGAGCCTCCATCCAAAACCTTGAAGAGAATTACAGCATTCTCATGCCCAAGTTTGTTTACTTCGCTTGAATGTATATGCTTCTCATAAGTTACACAAGTTTTCAAAGAAGAAAAACCATGGCAACAGACTGTCACTGATTTAGAACAATTAGGAACCAACAGAATGACTGGCAGAAGCGTGGTGAGTCCAGCCAGGCGGCAGGACTCCAGCTGCGGTGAAGAGCCCACCTAGCCTGCACGAGGCCAGGCTCACAAAGCCTGACCATCGCCCTTCACAGACACGAGCTGGGAGCAAGGTGCTCCTCCTGCACCAGGCTGTGGAGTGAATTTCTTCAGTCACTAAAGGGGTGGTCTTGGGCAAACTACTCAAACTCTCTTCAGTTTCCTCAAATATAAATAGAGTTAATACCACATAGTTCATTGCCACAGAAGTTGTATTAACGACCTCCAGAGGCTGGTACAAGGGCACAAACATGTCAGAGAAACCCTGTCTCAAAACAACAATAACAAAAAAAAGCCAGCACTCAGGAGGCTGAGGCAGGAGGATCTCTCTCTAAGCTGGAGTCCAAACTGGTCTACAAAGAAAGTCCCAAGCCAGCCAGGGGGTTCATAGTGAAGAGCTCTCTCTCTCTCTCTCTCTCCCTTTCTCTCTCTCTCTCTCTCTCTCTATCTCTATCTCTCTCTCTTTCTCCTCCCTCTCTCCCTCTCTCAGACAAAAACAAAAAAAAAATGTAAACTCCAGCAAGCATTTCAACAGCAGCGGAGATGCCAGGGCTTCCAATCCTCTGAATCATCTCCGTATCTATTGTCTCAATAGAACTTATGTCTTTTTGGAGTCAGGGTCTTCCTCTTAGCCCAAGCTGGCCTGTACCAAGGTAGCACAGGCCAGTCTCAAACTCACAACAGGTCCTCCTGCTTCGGTCTCCAGTTGCTGGGATAACCGGTGTGAGCCAACAACTTCAACGAGACTTCGAGCAGTGGTAAAACTCTCCTCTCTTCCCAAGACCGGAGGGAGAGGTGTTCACGTTGTTGCCCCCACCTGAAATCCTTTGGCTTAGGCTAGCAAATGGGCAAGGATACAGAGCTGATGCCCTGCAGAAGGGCACAAGCCAGACCCGCGCTCCTGCACTCTCCGGGGAAGGAGCCAAGGAACCCACAACACGGTGAGCAAAGCTCTCCAAGAATCCCCAACAGCACAGGTTCGGGTCATCGCTCCTAAGGCTACTCCTACGTGCAAGCACGAACTGGGAGCCAGAAAAAAGGATTGTTTATTGGCCAAGTTCCAAAAGCGGAAGGCCTAGCACATATTTCTTTCCCTCCATATTTCAGCACGAAAACTCCCAACTTCTCTTTTCCGCTTTATGATGTCAATGACAGGTATAGGAAGGCGAAGTAAAAAGTCCAAAACAGGCCAGCACGGGCTGTGGGGGCTTGCACAGCAGGTGGGAACCTCTCCAGGGACAGGTGTCTTGACAGATTAGGGTGACTGCAGTCAAATCTCCCTGGGGACACACCGAAGGAAATTCCCTTCCCAGAACATCAGCTTCCTTCCACCCAGCCTGACAATGGACGCCAAAGGATAAAGGGCCATTTAAAAACAAACCAGGGCTTGCTTGTCTGGGTGTGCCAGGCCCTGGGTGCGAACTCCAGCATCGAAAACAAAGAAAAAGGTACGGTTTCTCATAGTGGAACACAGATTCTGCCACCTGCTACAAGAGCTCTTTAAGACTCCAGGTCACCCAGTCCTAAGTCACTTCCCCTCTCTGCACTCTGGAGTGTCCATGGGGAGGTGAGTTGGGACGGCACACAAAAGCAAAATACAAGAGGTTTGGAAATTAGTCTCCAGCCACCCACACTCCACCGCCCCAGGTCTCCCTCCCCCTCGACTTCTCAGAGGCTGCTGACCAGCTCTGGACTCCAAGCAGGCGCCGCTACTACCTTGGCTAATGGCAACACTGAATGAAAAGAGCCGAGGCAGACTTAGGATTTATGAATGTGCAGGGGAGGAGGGATATCATGTGACAATAAAGGAGACCGTCTTATTCACAAAAAAAAAAAAAGTGACTGGTGGCGAGCTCAGTCACTGAACAGCAGTCACAGAGTAAGGACTGCTTGGACCCCAGGAGAGTACCGGCCGAGACAGAACGGCGGCCCCGCCCCCAGAACCCCGCAAGGGAAACGCCTCGAACCCAAGGGGGAGTCCCAACCCGACGCTGCCACTTGCGAGGAGATGGGTGACAGGCCCGGGTCTCCCCAAGGGGCGGCCCGGGAGCACCTCCGACTAAGCACCGAGAGCTTTGTTCCCCTCGGGCCCGCGGCCGGGCACGCGCTCTCCTTCACAGACACGCCAGGAGCGCGCTTCCCGCACGCTCTCTCCCGCCCTCGCTGCACACGCTTCGGATCCGCCCCCAGAGCTGCCCCGACACCGGGGCGCGTGTGCCAGCCCACACGCGCGTGCACACACTCATGCGCACCGCGACTCCGCGCTCCGGCTGCTGCGCGGACCCAGGCGCACGGACCCTGTGCCCCTGTGCTGAGCTGAGCCGGCCCTCCCCCAACTCCTTCGTGTTTTTATGAATGAAAATGTGGTATGCAAATGAGAGCGATTCAAGAAAACGAAATGGCGGAGCCGGGCCCCAGAGGGCTCCGGAGAGGACTGTGGGGCAGGCAGCAGAGCCGGAGTCACAAAGTCACCACGCACACAAACCCATCGACCCCCGAGATGCCCCGCGTGGAGGGCGTTGGAGCTTCAGCTCGCGCAGCGGCAGGGGACCGCCCCGAGGTCATTCGCGCGCCCTTGGCCCCGGCCGCGACCCGGACTCGCAGACCCTAGGCGGTTCCTGCAGCCTCCCCCAGCCAGGCTGGAGAGCCTCGCGCGCAGCCCCGACAGCCAGCAGCACCCCACGCCAACTTCCCCCGACGAGTCCCCCGCCTGCGTCCTTGGCGGCGGCCCCCACGCCTCCCAGCCGGGCACCCGCGTCCCACCCGCTGCGAACTTACTCGTCCGGGTGTGTTTCTTCGGTCATTTTCTTGTTCACCTAGACGCCTGTCCCGCGGCGGGCAGCCTGGCTCCCTTCATCTTCCTGTGCGCTCGCCCCCCTTCTTCACATCTCCGACATCTCCTGATTTGGTGGTGGAGGGGGGGAGCTAGAGATGAAGGGGGCGCCTAGGCAGGCGGAGAAACGGCGCTCCCCGAGCGCAGGGCGAGGTCTGGGAAGGGGTGCACCGGGCAGCGGACGCCACAGGCCGGCCGGGCGCGGCCCCCGGGCTCCAAACGGGCACAGGGGCGAGATTTGGGAAGGGGACCCCGGAGGAGTAGAGCAGCAGAAAAACAAGCACGCTCGGGGCGGCGGGCGGGCGGCCGGCTGCAGTGAGGCCGGGCCGGGGTCGACCCCGGGGACCTGGCCAATCAGGGTTCCGGGTAGCGCTCGGCTGCCGGGGGAGGTGCGCCTAGGAGGCGGTGCAGGGCGCCCCGTCCGAACCCCATCTCGCGACTCCACCGATTTACTCCATATTGGATTCTCAGCGCCGCCAACAGGAGGAGGAAGTAGGGCGGAAGCGATGACGTCTTCCCAGCGGCCAGAGGTGGTGGAGTGCAAAAAGCTTCCTACTTGCAACCAAAAAGAGAGAGAGAGAGAGAGAGAGAGAGGAACACACACACATACACACACACACACACACACACACACACACACACACACACACCACTTTGTCCCGCCTACTGAGAGTGCCCGCTTCTACTCCCCCCTCCCGCTAGCTTCTAGTCCGGGAGGAGCAGAGCGGAACGGCGTGGTTGGCGCAGTGTTTGTCCCGCTCCAAATCCTTGTCTCCGGGGCTCCGGGTTTTAGGAAGCCCAAGAGGGAGGGAGGCGGGAGCCGAGGACGAGAACACATCTGGCTCCCGTTTCGTCCCCTCCCTCCTTCCAAACCTTTGGATTAAAAATCAAGTGGGAGGTGGCGGGGCGGAGATGGGGAGGAGTTAAACTGCAGCCCGAGAGTTGGGGCTTGGAGGAACGCTACAGGGTGCGGGGTGGGGGCGGCGGTGCAGGTGATCCCTGTAGACCTCAACATCTTAACTGTGATAGAAACCGAGCTAAGAGGGAATTGGACTTTGCCAGTGTCCTGAACGGCAGAAGAGGTTCAGTTTCACGAGAATCTTGCGATTTTTTTTTTTTGTCGACAGAGAACAAGTGTTTTTCTAGCCTGTCTTCAAGGTGGCTTCGAACTTGTTATATAGCCGATACTTCCCTTCAACTCTTGGTCCTTTTGCCTAAGCATTCCAAATGATGGGATTATTCTTGTGCACCACCATGCCCACCCAGAGTGGGCATTTTTAAAAACTCTAATTTGCAGAAAACAAAAGGTACATTGGACCCAGATGAGAAACTTTTGTATTGCAGGCAGAAATGGAGTTCAAAGTAACACCAAAATATATTAAAGTATCCAGTAGTCTCTTTATTGGTGACATTTATTGGTGAATAATGTCTCTTGTCACCAACTCTTAAAGTCTATAGTTAATTGGGCCATAGATTACTGGCCCTTGATGGGCTTTGGCAAAAGGAAGACCCGGGAACTCATTACACGGCCATCTTTTTATTTTAGTTTTTTTTTTTAAAGAATATGCTGGGGGCAGGGAGGGAAGGGGCTGCATGCATGCACGTCTGTGCACCACGTGTGGGCAGAAGCCGAGGCCGTTGGATCTCCTAGAACTGGAGTTGTATAGCTAGCTGGTTGTTAGGTTCCATGTGGGTGCTAGGAATTGAACCAAGGTTCTCTAGGTCAGCCAATACTCCTAACTGCTGAGCCATCTCTCCCCGCATCTCTAATTTTTTCCTGCCGTGGCTTAGTACCCACCTGAGGTTTTCTGAGTGGACCCATGCAACATTTGGACAATGAACAGGATTGTTCCAGGGACCTTGTCTGGTGCATTTGTGTCGGATCTGAATTTGTGGTAATGAAATCCTTTACGGTTTCTGAAGGGGATACCATATTTTCACTTTGCACAAAATCCTACCAATTTCAGAATCATTGGGCATCTCCTGAAGTCCTGCCAGGGAACAAGAGACATAGTCCCTATTCCTTTCTGTGTTGACTGAGCTTTCTGTCCCAGCGGTCCTGCAGTCGTTCAGTCCCAAAGAAAACACAGAGGTCTATATTAATTATAAACTGGTTGGCCTAGTAGCTCAGGCTTCTTATTAACTCTTATAACTTATATTAGCCCATTATTCTTGTCTGTGTTAGCCACAGACTCGGTACCTTTGTCAGCAAGGCAGTCCCGTCTTGCTTCCTCTGTGTCTGTCTGAGTGACAACTGCAGAATGACTTTCCCTCTTCCCAGAATTCTTATTGCCCTGCCTCTACTTCCTGCATGGTTGCCCCACCTATACTTCCTGCCTGGCTACTGACCAATCAGCATTTATTTAAAATACAAGTGCAGGGTACAGAACATTGTCCTACAGCATTTCTGTTCCCGAATACTAATAATGAACATTTCTATCCTTCTGAATATGCCATGAGAGACATTTCCATCAAGATTTAACTAAATGGGATTTTAACTAAACAAACTAGGAGATTAAATATTTGTCTCAAAAATAGAAAGCTGCTGGATAATCCCATTCTAAAAAGACTGAGTCAGGAGGATTGATACACATTCAAGTCATGCCTGGTCTACACAGGGAATGCTAGGCCAGACAGAGCTATTAAGCTAGATCTAAACAAAACCACAAAACACAAAACCAGTCATGGTGGGTCATGTCTGTAATTCTAGCATTCTAGAGGCAAAAAGGCAGGTGGATCTCTGTGATTTCGAGGCCAGTCTGGCCTACGTAATGAGTTACAGGCCACCCCTGGGCTACATGGTGAGATCCTGTATCAAGAGTAGTAGTAATAATAATGATGATGATGATGATGATGATAGTACAGACCAGCAGCAACAACCAAAACAAAACCCCTACACAAAACAAAAACAGACTCTCTTAGAGGTGTATGCATAGAGAGAGATCTACAAGGTCTTGAAAATAAGAGTCTCACTTTTGAGTCAGTTATAAACTGGTTGACTTTTTTCTTTGCTCTTCACAACTGTGACCTTTGTGGACACAGACTGAGGCTCCATACTCAATTCTGAATGCCAGTGACATGTAGCAGTAAGGACACCAGACCTCATGAACACCTCCATTTTGGTTTTCTCTCAAAAATTCTGAGACCCTCAAAGTGAGGTTTCTATTAATTCTTCAACTTTCACAGGGATAACAATGTCGTTTTTGTTTTGTTTTTTAAGGTCACGAAGAATATGAGACATTCTGGGTGTGGTGGTGGACCCCATTAATCCTGGCATTCTGGACATAGAGGCAGGTGGATCTCTGATTTTAAGGCCACACTGGTCTACATATCAAGTTTCAGGTCAAATAGGGATAACTGGTGAGACCTTTGTCTTTAAAAGGGGAAATCAGAGGGGGGGGGGGCATGATGACTAGAGATGGCTCAGTGGTTACGAGCAGTGGTTGTTCTTCCAGAGGACCCGGGTTTGATTCCCTACTACCCACATGTTCCCTCACAACTATCTATACCTCCATTCCAAGGGTCTGATACCCTCTTTTTTCTTCTATTTTTCTTTTTTTTTTTCTTTCGTTTTTTCGAGACAGGGTTTCTCTGTAGCTTTTGGTTCCTGTCCTGGAACTAGCTCTTGTAGACCAGGCTTATCTCGAACTCACAGAGATCCACCTGCCTCTGCCTCCCGGGTGCTGGGATTAAAGGCGTGCGCCACCACCACCTGGCCTGTGATACCCTCTTCTGGCCTCCAAGGCCACCAGGCACCCAAGTAGTGCATAGCTCTATGGACAGGCAAAACACCTATACAAACAAAAAAATAAAAAAATAAAAATAAAAAATAAACAAAAAGTGATACATTCAGGACAAGTAGAAAAAATACCCAAGATTTACCCAGCTCCTCTCCACACCACCCCCACCAACAGTGCTTGCACACAATGAATGAAACATTGCTGTCACTAGGGCCCTTGACTATGAGAACTCTGAATACAAACTATCTGGAAAGGGCATCGGTTTTTTGCTTGTATATAAGATACAAGTTGAACTCAAAAGAGTTTTTACATGGAGATGTCAAGAGAACCAAGCTAAATATTGTCTCTCTGATGAGGATGATTAAAAGACATTCTTGAATTGGATGTTTTGGATGACTAGCTCTTGGATTTAGACGTGAATGGGGAGTTTTGTGTGGCATGGCCTGGGGGTCCCGTGCAGCATATTCCGGAAGATGGCTACTTACCCACCAGCACAGTGCCTCATGAACAACTCGGATTGGGCCGATCTATTTCTAGAATTTCTTGTAACATCTCAGGAACTATTTGTATTTGTGTTGACTTGTTCTACATATGTCTTATTATTTTTCTCATTCTCTATGCCACTCCCACAATCTAAAAAATCATGTTCCTTCTTAAAAAAAAGAATCGGAGACATTTGAAAATAAGTATTCGCTTGTGCTGATTTTAAAATTTTCAATTCAGAAGAATCACCAATTTGAAAGTACAGGGCACGGTAGCATCACCTGTATTCCCAGTTCTTGAGAGACTGAGGCAAGATAATCACTGTCAGTTGGGATACATAGTTCCAAACTAGTGTGAGATCCTGCCTCAAAAACAAACAACAAATCAGAAACAAAAAAATGCGTGGGTTGCACAGTCTTGTGTCCCAGGAGGCTGGAGGGTTAGTGGTTCAAGGTCTTTTGAGTTCCAGGCCGCCCTGAGCTACTTGAGACTCCCTCGGACTTTTAAAGAAAGTGTTGACTCAGTAAGAAGGTAAAACTTCAAAAGTACTATCGATCTGCTCACTACTTCACAGAAACCCAGCGTGGCTGCTTGCCTCTTAACTCCTCGGGCGGGCTGGCGAAGACCTCACAGCTCTGCCTTTCCCCCCTGGGAGCTTCGGGGAAAGCCTGGAGCACCCCTCCGTGGAGGCCGCAGCAGCTAGCGGGATAGGCAGGCCCAGTATCTGGGCAGATCCCGATTTTCAAACCTGCAGCCGGGATGGGGGGGAGGGGTGGTTCGCGAAGTGGGCTTTTAGGCCTCCCCTGCAGCCTGGTCTCCCAGCCCGGACAAGGCTACCGCTGCAGGTGGGATCGCAGGCCACGAGCTCGGCCCCAGGGCTGTCCTCGCCTCACCCTACTCTGCCCCTTCGGTATTTCTCAATGACTGGCGCTCGAGAACACTTCCGACTCCGGGGAAGGGTGCCACTCGCATGGGTTTATCAGTTCCTTCCGGTCGCGCCCCAGCTGCTGCAAAGCCTGCATCACTACGCTCGGGCAAGCAGCCGCGGGTACCCGCAGTGCCAAGAAAGCCCATGACCGTGCAGACTTAGAAAGAGACGCCACGGCCCTGCGGGGTGAATGGCTCTGGCCCATTGCACAACCTCCGGTATAACTAGCCAAGGGCGGCAGTACAGGGCTCATTCCCCGGGCGGCACACTCCCGGATCATTTTCCCTTTCGGTTGCATAGCCAGGATTTTATTAAACAGACGAAAGGCCCCTGCCCCGCCTCCCTCCACGCGGGTTCAGTTATGAATGAAACGCCAACCCTGCTGCTTCTGAGGTCGTCACTTCAGGTAGGAGGGTGACTTGAAGCGTGTTGAGCGGCTCACCAAAGACTCGGGTGTGCCTTTGCTGGGGAGAGACAGAATGCAGGAAGTAATCTACAGAGCAGAGCAGGAAGCTTTCTTTGTGTAAAAAAGTAACCGCCAGGGTTTGCCCCAAGTTTCAGTTTACAATTGTACAAGCCTCAGCCAATTTAAGAATGAGTTATGCAAAGGGTCTTCCGTCTGAGGCTGCTCACCCTAGCAGT